GATGCTGCAGTGCAAACATTTGTCCACTAGATGGCAGACACACACCACTTCCCACACTGGCTGATGACCTCAAGTTTAGGACAAGTAGCTGAAAGTAAATCTTAGGAAGCTCTATCCTGAAAGAATCCTGTGGTTGAAGGTGCAAGATACAAAAAAATGTATTAGCTAGCTTGTTCGTTCACCATCCAGTCCAGGAGCTCCTCAGTGTTTTGTATGAAAATCAAATGTGTTATGGTCATCTGAAAACCCTTTGAATGTAATGCAGGCAGGTGTCTGGTGTTGTGTCACTGACATGTCCAGTTGTAGAGCTGCGGACTAATACGATGCTGCATATTCAGTGTTGTGGTGAATCCTAAGCGAGTGATTATCTGACGAGTTTTGTACACATCATTGGCACATTTTAACAACAACAACAATAATAATACTAATAACTAATAATATTTCTACACTGCACAACATTTGTACAATGCACGATAAAAACAAAGATTAGACACAAGACTGACAAATGTGAAATGACTCAAATAAATACTAACAAAATTAATAAAACTACAAGTTTTCTCCTTCCAAGTAGTCCCTCTGGAGTCTAACACACTTCCCAGCCTTCTCTTCTCGCCGCCATGCACTCCTGGAAGGATTCTTCCAGGATCCTCCACAGCTCCGTCATCACAGCCATCTTGATGTCGTCCACGTCTTCTAAATGGGTCCCCTTGATGACCCCTTGAGCTTGGGGAAGAGGAAACAATCCCACGGAGCCAGGTGGGGTGAGTAGGGAGGTTGCTCCAGCACGGTGATGTTCTTCTCAGTCAGGAACTGTGGGATGCTCAGGGCGTTGTGAGCAGGCGTGTTGTCATGGTGAAGCAGCCACCACTGGTCCTGCCACAACTCTTCTCGCGCACTGAATGCAGCAAACACGTGCTGGCTGATCATCTGAAGGGGAAAACTCGTAGTTAGTAGTTTGGGTTAGAAATGTATCTTTTGTGACACCAGTCCTGGAACTTTTCTGACACACCTGGTATGTTGAAGGACACATTGTGATGAAAAATAACTCCAAGGTTCTTCACAGGAGAACTGGAGGCCAAGGCAATTCCATGTGTTTTTCTGAGGTGTTTAGGGCCAATTACAATAACCTCAGTTTTGTCTGAATTTAAATGAAGGAAATTACAGGTCATCCAGGCCTTTATGTCCTTCAGACATGCCTGGAGTTTGTCTTACTGTTTTCATTTCACTTTTTAGATGAATATAGCTGGGTGTCATCTACTTAACAATGGAAATTAATGCAGTGTTTCCCAATATTATTACCTAAGGGGAGCATGTACAAGGTAAATAATATAGGTCCTAACACAGAGCCCTGTGGAACCCCATAACTAACTCTACTGCGGGTGGAAGAATCCTCATTAACATGAACAAACTGGAATCTATCTGAAAAATATGATTGAAACCAATTTTGTGCAGTTCCTTTAAGTCCAGTTGAACATTCCAGTCTCTGTAATAAGATGATCCACTGAATCAGATGCAGCACTGAGATCCAGTAGAACCAGTATAGAAACTAATCCACTGTCTGAAGCTATAAGAAGATCATTAGTGACCTTCACCAGTGCTGTCTCTGTTCTATGATGGATTCTAAACCCTGACTGAAACTCTTCAGACAAACCATTTCTATGCAGATAATCACATAATTGGCTGCAACAACTTATTCAAGAATTTTAGAAATAAAAGGAAGGTTGGATATGGGCCTATAGTTAGCTAAAACGCCTGGATCCAGAGTGGGCTTTTTGAGCAGTGGTTTTATTATAGCTACTTTAAAAGCCTGCAGTACGTAGCCTGTTAATATAGAGAAGCTGATGATATTTAATACTGCAGTATTTATTAGAGGAAAGATTTCCTTGAACAGTCTAGTTGGGATTGGGTCTAACAGACATGCTGCTGGTTTAGAAGAATTTACTGTCGATGTGAGCTCTGACAGATTTACAGCAGAGAAGCAGTCTAAGTATAAATCTGGTCCAATGGATGCATCCAGAGCTGCTGCACCAACAGACATGCTAATAATTTTTTGTCTAATATTCAAAACTTTATCAGTGAAGAAGGTCATGAAGTCTTCACTGCTGAGAGCTAAAGGAAACAAGGCTCTGACTCTTTGTCAGCCTGGCTCCAGTGCTGAAAGGAAACCTGGGGTTGTTCTTGTTTTCCTCAATTAGGGATGAATAATAAGCAGTTCTCGTCTTGCGGATCGCTTTTTTATAGGCTATCTTTATATAGCTATCTTTTCAGGCTAGATGAAATTCTTCTGACTTGGTGGAGCACCACTGTCTTTCTAACCTTCTTAATTTCTGTTTTAAGATGCGCAGCTGTTGACTGTACCACAGAACTATTTTATTATAATTTATTGGCTTCTTTTTCAATGGGGCAACAGCATCAATTGATGAACGCAGTAAAGCTGCAGTTCTGTCAACAAGATGATCCACCTGTGTGAGACTGAGATTGGAGGAGCTGCTCTCTGTTGTGTTGGCACTGAAGTAAATAATAGTGGATCCATCCATCCATCATCTATACACCGCTTAATCCTCATTAGGGTCGCGGGGGGGCTGGAGTCTATCCCAGCCGACTTCGGGCGAAGGCAGGGGACACCCTGGACAGGTCACCAGTCCATCACAGGGCTACACTTAGAGACAGACAACCAAGCACACTCACATTCACACCTACGGAACATTTAGAATCAACAATTAGCTTCAACATGTTTTTGGACTGTGTGGGAGGAAGCCGGAGAACCCGGAGAGAACCCACGCTGCACGAGGAGAACATGGAGACTCCGCGCAGAAAGATCCCGGTGCCTCCACCGGGACACGAACCTTCTTGCTGTGAGGCAACAGTGCTAACCAACTGCACCACCCTGCAGCCCGAGTAGCGGAACCATTTCCTTAAATTTAGTAACTGCATTTTCGGATAGACATCTACTGTAATGAAACTCTTTGGTAGGTGTTCCATAGTCCATTATTGTAACTTCAAATGTTATGAAGAATGATCAGAGAGGACAGAGTTTTGTTTAAAGACAGTTTACTGACTGACAAAGCAAATGATCCAATGTGAGTCCTTTCGATGTAAGACCATTGGGTTTGGACCACTTGAGGATGTGATATGAATGCAGCTGATCATTCAGTCTTGTTTGGGGGTCATTTCAAGTCACCAGTCCAGTTAAAGTCCCTTTAATGATAACATAGAATAGTCTGTCTTTAAAAATCATCTCGAAAAAGCAGCTGTACAGGCATCTAGTTTCAGAAAGTTATTGAGAGAACTGTGTCTCACAGAGGATGTTTGACTACGTGACTGGCATTGCACAGCTGAAGAACAAAAAAAACTGTTTCAGTGGTTATCTGATCTGTTCATTTCCTCTGCAGCGCTTGCCTTCCTCAGAAGTTGAGATATTAAGAACCTATTAGACATTCACATTTTACATGCAGAGCTGATCGTCTGGGGAATAATCAGCATCCTTACAAGCAATGGAGGAAATTTCTGCCATTATTGAACCTGCCAGCCCACAACATTCAACGAATCACACTGGTGAGAATGAAGTGACAAACAGATAAATATTATTGTCTGTCATTATTACTGCCGTAAGAGCTGTTGGTTTATTTCTGTGTTCAGGTCCGAGGAGCTCTAAGAGGAGTTTTCATTCAGTTGAATATCTCTGTTTGGGGCTGCTGAGTGTTTTCCTGCTGGTTGGACTCATCACCCTCAGCGTCCTCTGTGAGTGGTTTTAATGAGTTAACTTTCTAACAATCACTGGCCTAAATATGTGCAGATTAAAAAATCTGGTGCTGCATTTTGAATGGAACTTAGAATCAAATTTGACAAACTCAACAAGCGCTGAACATCTCAATTCAAACCATGTTAACAATTTTAGAAAACTAACACCAGCAGCAATTTTTCCATAATTACAGTAAAATGATAGTTTGCTACAAGTTTGTCATACATCGGGGCACATACCTGCCGACTCATTTTCACAGCAAGAATCAAGTAAAAATGTGAAAATATTTTGATCTTGGACTGAAGTAGATGGACAGTATTAGTATGGAAGCATAGGGTGTTTCGTGTTTCTGAATCATGCACTTTGATTTATTTCAGACCATGACTCGGCTGCAGATCTCTCCACTGTTAAGGAAAGCCTGGCTGAGCGTCTGCAGGCCTGTAATAATGAACTTTCCTCCATGAAAGGAGAGAGAGACCAGCTGAAAGCCAGCCTCGATGAAATGACTAAAGAGCGGGACAGACTTGAGAGTTTGTCCAAACAAAGTGAGTCCTTCCCCGTCTGATATACGACAGAATCGTCCACCTGTTGCTCTCCAGTTAGTTGACTTGACAAATTCAAAGGTCTGTTGTTTTATAGGCAGAAATTCAGTGANCAAATTCAGAAAAGAACAGAAAAACAAACCAACAACTGAAGACTCTGCTGGACAGATGCTGCAGTGCAAACATTTGTCCACTAGATGGCAGACACACACCACTTCCCACACTGGCTGATGACCTCAAGTTTAGGACAAGTAGCTGAAAGTAAATCTTAGGAAGCTCTATCCTGAAAGAATCCTGTGGTTGAAGGTGCAAGATACAAAAAATTTATTAGTTAGCTTGTTCACCATCCAGTCCAGGAGCTCCTCAGTGTTTTGTATGAAAGTCAAATGTGTTATGGTTATCTGAAAATCCTTTGAATGTAATACAGGCAGGTGTCTGGTGCTGTGTCACTGACATGTCCAGTTGTTTAGCTGCGGACTAATACGATGCTGCATAGTCAATGTTGTGGTGAATCCTAAGCGAGTGATTATCTGACTAGTTTTGTACACATCATTGGCACATTTTAACAACAATAATAATAGTAATATCTATTAACATTTCTACACTTTCTAAAACAGGGTTTACAAAGTGCTCTGACTGACAAAGCCAAAGCAGGGTACCCAGAATGCACGATAACAACAAAGACTAGACACGAGACTGACAAATGTGAAACGACTCAAATTAATAAATACTAACAAAATTACTAAAACTACAAGTTTTCCCCTTCCTAGTAATCCCCCTGCAGACTATCACACAGCTCCGTCATCACAGCCATCTTGATGTCGTCCACGTCTTCTAAACAGGTCTCCTTGATGACCCCCTTGAGCTTGAGGAAGAGGAAACAATCCCACTGAGCCAGGTGGGGTGAGTAGGGAGGTTGCTCCAGCACGGCCATGTTCTTCTCATCCAGGAACTGTGGGATGCTCAGGGCGTTGTGAGCAGGTTGTCATGGTGAAGCAGCCACCACTGGTCCTGACACAACTCTTCTCGTGCACTGAACGAAGCAAACACGTGCTGGCCGATCGTCTGAAGGGGAAAACTCGGAGTTAGTAGTTTGGGTTAGAAATATATCTTTTGTGACACCAGTCCTGGAACTTTTCTGACACACCTGGTATGTTGAAGGACACATTGTGATGAAAAATAACTCCAAGGTTCTTCACAGTAGAACTGGAGGCCAAGGCAATTCCATCCTGAGTAACTATCTGGTTAGACAGTGTGTTTCTGAGGTGTTTAGGGCCAAATACAATAATCTCAGTTTGGTCTGAATTTAAATGAAGAAAATTACAAGTCATCCAACTGTTTTCATTTCACTTTTTAGATGAATATAGCTGGGTGTCATCTACTTAACAGTGGAAATTAATGCAGTGTTTCCCAATATTATTACCTAAGGGGAGAATGTACAAAGTAAATAACACAGAACCCTGTGGAACCCCATAACTAACTCTGCTGCGGGTGGAAGAATCATCATTACATGAACAAACTGGAATCTGTCTGAAAAATATGATTGAAACCAATTTAGTGCAGTTCCTTTAAGTCCAGTTAAACATTCCAGTCTCTGTAATAAGATGATCCACTGAATCAGATGCAGCACTGAGATCCAGTAGAACCAGTATAGAAACTAGTCCACTGTCTGAAGCTATAAGGAGATCATTAGTGACCTTCACCAATGCTGTCTCTGTTCTATGATTCATTCTAAATCCTGACTGAAACTCTTCAGACAAACCATTTCTATGCAGATAATCACATGATTGGTTTGTAACAGGGCTGCAAGGTGGCGCAGTTGGTAGCACTGTTGCCTCGCAGCAAGAAGGTTGCCGGTTCGCGTCCCGGTGGGGGCACCGGAATCTTTCTGCGTGGANGATAAAAACATGGACATAATGATCAGTAATATCCCATGTCTCATTTTTTTCCCCCCAGATAAAACGTGTCCTGCAGGATGGAGGATGTTCGCTTCTACATGTTATCTTCTCTCTGAAGAGTCTGGTTCCTGGGATGAAGGCAGGGAGGACTGTAAAGGCCGAGGAGCAGATCTGGTGGTGATAAACAGTCCTGAAGAACAGGTCCAGTGTGTTTTAGTGTGTTTGCAAATAAACATGAAAATTCATCCCCCTGTAAATCCTCTACGTGCATCACTTTGCCCAGTTTTAAAGAAAGTATGAAGCAGCAGATAATTTCTGCACAAACCTTTTGAACCATAAGTCGAATATTCATAGCAGTTCAAAGCATCCCATGAGGTTTATTTCAGCTGTATTTGATTGTCAGCTGGGTTGGATTTTATGCAAAAGACTGACTGCATACATTTCAACACAATCTCTGCCAAAACTGCTGCTGATGATCTTCAGTTCAAGCCTCATAAAAGTTATTATACGAGTTTAGATTTTCGAAAATTTGTTCATCCATCAAAGCCACTTGAAAACTAGCAACAAGGCCACCAAACTGAAAGTGAGATCATAACTCAGTAACTGTTTCCTGTACGGACCCAGATCTTGGTGCATGGACCAAACTATGCAATGGTTTCCTGGTGAGGGTTACAATAAGCAGTAACATTTTCCTGTCAGTGCTTACAGCCACACTTTTATTACAATCAGATCAAGTTGTTATGGCAGGTATGGCCTGCTAAGCTAGTTCATTTTAATTAGAGGAGTTTCTTTATGATTTTTGAACGGATTTGTTCAGATAGAATTTATAAACTGCACATATTGTGCTTAAGAGCTAAAATGTGTTTTTCTTCATGACAGACGTTTCTTTCAAGGTTCAAAGGGGAAAATCCATGGATTGGTTTGAATGACAAAGAAAACGAGGGCACCTGGACATGGGTGGACGGAACTCCTCTGACTATTAGGTAAGTCTTTACTTTGGTTCAGCATTAATTAATTCACATCCACAACTACTGTTTTGTTATGATGACAGTTTATCAATTATTGAACCTCCAGCAGGTGTTTCTCACAATCATAACAGAAATAACCTCATTGGTGAACTTACACATCAGTGGATGAAGTCATGCTACCTGGGCCAGATCTTACAGTTTTTCTGTGGCATAACGGGAACTAACTCCTCCTAAACTGACCTCATATCATCTTGTATACATTTTATGGTAAAGAGCTGCAGTGTTGGGTCATAATTCTCAGTGGATACATCATCCAAAACAGCTGATTTTAAACATACATAGTCGTTGGGCGCTGCTGGTGTAGTGGTATCATGCAAGATTCCCATTCTTGCGACCCGGGTTCGATTCCTGGGCGGCGCACGTATTTGGGCTGCAGGGTGGCGCAGTTGGTTAGAATCGCTGCACTAAGGTTGCCAGTTTGCGTCCCGGTGGGGGCACCGGAATCTTTTTGCGTGGAGTCTCCATGTTCTCCCCGTGCAGCGTGGGTTCTCTCCGGGTTCTCCAGCTTCCTCCCACACAGTCCAAAAACATGTTGAGGTTAATTGGTGATTCTAAATTGTCCGTAGGTGTGAATGTGAGTGTGCTTGGTTGTCTGTCTCTAAGTGTAGCCCTGTGATAGACTGGTGACCTGTCCAGGTGAACCTGTCTTCACCCTGAGTCAGCTGGGATAGACTCCAGCCCCCCATGACCCTAGTGAGGATTAAGGTGTATAGATAATGGATCGTCATTGGTACAATAAAAAAATTAGGAAACAAGATGTTAAAATCCCATCAAAACCATCTGTTCTTGCTTGTGTATGTGTTTTTATTCTGATTCCTTTGTCAAAAATGAACAGTGTAATGAATGAAATGAAATGAAATGAAAAATACTTTATTTATCCCAGAAGGGAAATTCAATTATTATAATAATGACTCTGTTGTTCACTGATCTGCCAGCTATTGGGAGAACATCCAGCCTGACAACGGTGGTGGAAGTCCACAGTGGGGTGAAGAGGACTGTGCACAAATCAGAACTGCCGAATCAACTCACTGGAATGATATTTCATGTACAACGTCTCTGCAGTGGATCTGTGAAAAACTGCCATAAGGTAGCTGCATTATATTTTGAGGATTGTATATTTGAAGGTCATATATGTATATAAAACCAAATGTAAAAATTTCAGGTTTTTATATTGAATAGTTTCAGAAATATTGTCATTCAAACATATGCTTAAAATGTAATGCCTGAAAAGACTTGCTGAAAGTGGGTCGTTGGGCAGTTTTGTTAAAAATGTATCTCAGAAAGTATTATACATATTAGTCTAAAATGTCACAGATATCCTTATATATATGTAGACTTTATGATTGAAAAAGATTTCAGGCAAATCAGAAACAGTCGAACAGAAATTGTTCTGAAAGTTTGATGATTTCAGATGGAACGACCCTGTTGAGAATCAAACCGGGTGACTTTTACATGAGGAAGCTGTTGGTTTTGTCCAGCACACAGCTGCAATCTGATTGTATACATGAGAAACAGCATCAACAAAGCTGATGAATATCACCAGAGTAAAGTAAGAGACCATGCAGATGTGGTTTAGCAAGGGTGTCATTCTTTTTTCACTGCCAAGAAGAGATGAAAGTCGTACTTCCTCTTTATAAAACCATTAGAGAAACTTGTGAGTGAACACTGTTGCACCTGTATGGCTGTCTGTGTGAAGACCATTTTGAATTTCAGAACTTGCACATACTGAATATATAAGCATGTATATGTGTGTGTATATACATCTGTCAGATTGCACTGTGGAAAAAAAAATCTGTAAAACAAACAAACAAACAAAAAAGAAGCCTGTGAAATCTTGACAGCAACAGCGCCAGAAAGGAAGTAAAGTCGTGACTCGATAATCCGACACTAAATGTAAAACCTTCTTTTATGTCGGATATCAAGGCTGTCGGATTGTCAAGATGGAGGTCAAGATACGAGGAGGGCTTGATGCTGGAAGGATCATTTGCTGTTAATTATTGTTCATAGTTGTTATAATAACTAGTGTATTGTTAGAACACTACACATCGCTGGATTTCACGCCAAATTCACCGGTGCGATTGTGCACAGCCCTGTCGGTTGACATCAAAAGTAAATACGTTCAGACAGCAGGCTGCAGTGACCCAAATCCGACTTTTTTTGCCCCTATGTGACCTGTGTCCAGTCTTTTCATGACAGTCCGAACAACACAGATCCGACTTCCATCGGGGGGGCACTTCCATCCCGGGGCAGCGCCCCGACGGGGTGGAAGTGGCCGGAACACACAGGCAGTACTTGGCTGCTGATGCTAGTTTAGTTAGCGGTCACAGTTCTGTTTCCACCATCGGTGGCGGCGGCGGGGGAGTGGCAGATACCGTTACCATCCATGTTTACTTTCGCAAACACTGAGCAGAGGTGTGTCCTCTTCTGTGCATGCGGGACACTTTTGGGTCGTATGAAGTTCACACAGCAGATCACATACAAGTCGTATTTAATTAAACATGTGAATGAACTCGTAAAAATATTGTATTTCACAAAAAAATCCCACCGTGGACCCACAGTGGAGTCACTGTTTCACTGTGGAGAGCCTGTGGAGAGGTTTAGGGTGAATCAGTGGTTAGCATCTTTGTCTCGCAGCTGGAAGGTCGCCGGTTCGTGTCCCGGTGAGGACACCCGGGATCTTTCTGTGTAGAGTCTCCATGTTCTCCCCGTGCAGCGTGGGTTCTCTCCTCCCACAGTCCAAAAACATG